CATTGTCTACCTCGCTGGTGGACCCGTGCAGTGGCGCTCCAAGCTACAGACGGTCACTGCCACGTCTACTGCTGAAGCCGAGTTTATGGCTGCTTACTCTGCGGCCAGCGAGACTATGTTTGTTGATCATTTGGTTCGTGAACTCTCACACGCCGTCTTCAAGCCCGTGTTGTTCAGTGACAACCAGGCGGCGATCCACATGATTACAAACGGAGCCAACTCTCCGGGCTCCAAGCACATTGCTGTCAAGTATCGCTTTGTGCAAGAGAGGTATGAACGCAACCAGCTCGATGTCCGGTTCTGCGGGACCAAGGACATGGTTGCTGACCTTCTCACCAAGCTGCTCAATGGACCGAGCCATCGTCGTTTGTGTGACATGCTCTTCCGTTCTCAGCTTGAAGGGGAGTATTAGAGGCACAATCTGAGACGGTATACTTTACCACGTAGTGTGTCCTTTGGTACTTGATGTTGTCCCACCTTGTTGTGTAACATCTGGTTGTACCATCTTGTTGTGGCATCTTGTTGTGGCATCTGTTGTACCCAACAGATTGCTGATATCGCTTCCACCTGTCTTCAGTGTGATAGTCCATTCTCTGTCTCCACTGTGTGTGTGTGTGTTTCCACCTGCTATAAATGGGAGCGATCTCCCTGGATTGGTACCATTTTCCTTCTTGACCTCGGTCGTTCCACTTCCCTCCTTCTGTCTTGTTCTGTCTTGTTCCTTCGCCTTGCTTCAATCCATGTTCTCGTATGCACTTCGATTGGTTGGATACCTCTGTGACAATCGCCTTGTCCACACACATTACACTGTACTGGACATACACCTTTAATACTTTTCCACCCAGACATGGGAGAGGGTGGCGTACCTGAGCAGGCGGCCCATCTCGTCGCGAAGGGCGTTGTGACGCTTGATGGGACGGCAGGTCAGCAGGTGCTCGCGGGTCAGTCGCGGCTGAGGTGTCTTGCTGCTGCAGAGCGGGCACTTGTCCGTCGGCTTGACATTGATGAGTTCATGGAGGCCAAAACCCATCATGGACACAACCGCAATGGCAAAGGTCGTGTCGCTCAAGCGACGCAACTTGTCCCGACCCCGCATGGTCAAGACTGTGCTGACGCCCCACTCGCGTGAGGCCAGATATGCCTGCTGCAGGTCCAGCGCACACTTGTCCATCAGGTCGTCCAGTGCCGCCTTGGAGCGGAGGGCAATGATCTTGGTCGCTGGGTCGCCGCGTCCTTGACCGTGGCCATCTGGAAGCCGGCTCGCTGCACGTGGGCCTCAAAGTCGGCAGCCCTCGATGCATCCTCCAAAAGTCGATCGTAGACCCGAGGGTAGCGAGTGGCCAGCTTGGCCATGTTGCAGACATAAGCCACCGGACCGCGCTCAACCAAGTCGTGCAGGCCAAAGCCCCCGGTGTTGGCCCGCGTGAAGAGGCGAGCCTCAAGGAGCTGTTCCAGCGTAACGTCATGACCTTCAGCTCCAGCTGGTGCAGACAGGTTTACCTTCGCAAAAAAGGCTTTGACAAAGGTGTCCTTGCAAGCACGGTTCAAGAGCTCGGACAAGCCCGACGTGAGACTTGGGGGCAGCGTGTAGAGGTGGTTGATGAGGCTAGGCACGTACTGCATGGCCGTGAGGAGGGCCTGAAGCGAGACACCGGTCGTCAGCATGTCATTGAGCTTGCCAGCAATGTGCTTTGCCTTGTCGTTCAGCTGCTTCTTCATCCACTCGCGACGGCCAATCGGCGTTCCCAAGACCGTCATGCCCGTGTTGGCCGTCTCGCGCACGGCATCTGGCAATACAGACTTGATAGCAGTGATGGAAGCGGGATGGTGGCGAGGCATGTAGAAGCGGCTCTTACTGGGCTGCAGATGGAGGCCAGCAGACTCTGCACGAGCCTTGACAATCCCCACGTCGGCCGCCACGTCCTCCGCGGGACCCATCAGTACAATGTCGTCGAGGTATTTGATGACCTTGCAGCGGTAGTCAGTGGTGGCGTCGAGGAGGCCGAGGACCTCACAGGAGTACAGGGCAAAGAAGAAGGGCGATAGCTCGTTGCCCTGCACAATGCCTTGGCCAACATCAATGTCAATCACCTTGAAGAACTTGTCGACAATGCAGTGGGTAGTGGGTCGAGCATAGTGTCGTTCAAAGGCGCGCAAGAGGCCAGGGACCTTGTCGGCCACAAGCTCGTAGTCTTGTTTGAAACAATCGTGACGTTGTTGTGTTTCCTGATCGTGTCGTGATCGTTTTGCACTCTTCTGAATGCGACATCTGGTTTGATACATGTCCTCGTTACGATCGAATGCACTTTTCACATGTCTTGTCGGATGTCTGGCGGTGTTTGTGAATGCGCATCATGGTCTTTGAGCAAATCAAGGTGGGCGATTTCATTTCAACTCACAAAGAGGGATTGATTTTTGAAAGCTTTAAAGAACGATATGCTAATCAAAACCGTACTGTTCTTCATCGGCATCGGCTATGGGTTCTGGTTGGTCAGTCGTGGTTTGGTCTTTGGCGGATGAAGTTGGTCCGGCCACGCTCGGGCGCCGCGACATTGGGTTGACAAGAGTTTCGCCACCAGCAGCGTCTTCCAAATTCCTAAATCAACCGCGCAAGTCAGGTCCATGAGCTGGTCGATGAATTGTTCACAGCACCCATCATGTGAAGAGGGGTGAGGTAAACAACTCTTTCAAACACACTTTAATCGCCTAAGCGTGCGCTCTTTCTCTGCTTTTGAAGGGGGCTCGGAATCGACGGAAAGCCGGTAGAGTTCTATTTGACGCAGAAGTCATTCAGTTGGATAAACACACGCACAATGATTGAGGGATTCGCCGAAAACCGATGTCTGCAATCCTGCAGAAGTCGTTGAGGGTCAAGGGATGCCGAACCGTATTCAGAGTAAACCGGGACCGTCTTGATGTAGCGAATGAAGTCATCGCGCCGGGAAGCGGGTTTGGCGCCTGATTTGAGCACCATAAACTCCGCAAGTCGGTCACTCAACCTGGTCGGCCGATTCAAGCAAGTATGAGTTGATAATGGGCAAGTACAAACAGGAGGAGCACACTTAGCACCAAACGCACATCCACATGGTATTAAAGTTGATATGGCCATTTGCGAGTTTCTTTTCGGACATTTCCTTCGTGAAATAAACATCCTGGCCAAACAAATCGGGGCAGGCTTGTAAGATGTTTCAGGTGCACACGGCTGGCGTGGAGAGGGAGAGTTGGTAAACCTTGATCATCAGGCTAAAGAAGGGGACCACGTCGTTGGAGGATAGGAGTGACATCATTTCTTCACGATACGCGCGAAAGTTGCCCGTCGGATCCATGACGTTCTAGAGGAGCGGCGGCAAATATAAAAGAGCATCCTCATATTCGTTGTCGCCCCCACATAGGTTAGCGATGTCGCGCCTCACCTCAAGGCGCTTAAACTCGTTGATATGCTTGCTGCCCACTTTTTCCCAAGATTTTTTCAACCTGAAACTCATGAGCGCGCATTAATTTCAAGAGAAAATGGTGACACAAAAGCAGCTGCCACTGCGTGAGATGGCTGCAATCATGCACACACCGTCCAAGTGAAGCGTAGTTGAGTGCCGAGATGATACCGATCATCGAGTTGAAGTTGTGCTGCGAATGGCACGCTGCAGCACACTAAGAAGAAGCATTTGTGAGAGCGTGACAGGGTTCTTCTAATGCCGACGTGGCAAAGCAAGCGATGAAAGGGTGTATGAAAGTTACCTGAATCCAATACTCGATGGCACGTGTTCGGTCTTTGCGGTTGGGGTGGCGCACAATCTCCCCAGCTATGACGTAGCTGCATGGAATGTCGAGAAGTGAAATTCAAGTCTCGGCGGATAAAGCTCAGCACGTGTACACGGGTGCTTGGCAAGCTCGCATGACATCTCTCTGACCTTAAGCGGTTGATCCATTCGACGTAGGCCTCAACATTGTGCGCCTCGCGCATATCTGTGTAATGCTATGATGATGAAATTCGCTGGTGAGTGACCAGGGGTGTGATCGGAAGAAAGTGCAAACAAGAGATTTGGCTTGCCTCATGATCATCGCCGCGTACAAAAGTTTGAATAAACTCTTCTGGTCCAATGGCAGCCAGTCGTTCCATCTCAATAATCTGTAAGTGCAAGGGTCACGAAAGTCGAACCTGGTCAGTCTCACCGCGAAGTGAACCCACTTTCGTGGGGCAGTCCGGAGGAAGTATAATGTCAATTTGCTGCCCGTTCAGGCAATGTGATACCTTCAACTGTTCGCCGCACTCTTGTGGCGACAAGTTGAAATCGAACGTGTTCACGTCCGGCTGAGAATTGACACGTAACATGACAGAAGAGCGGCAAGTGGAGAAGGAATGCTTATTAGAAAGGACACTAAGCGATGAGGGGGGCGTCTAAGGCAACAACAGACCGCTTTGCGGCCCGTCGACAGGGTATCGTTGCGAGCCTTGATTTGAAGCTCGAATTCCTTCTTCAAACGAGCTTCGAATTGCTCAAGTTCGTTAAGCTGCGGGAACAAGTCAAAGTGTGATATGACCTCAGCATACACCGAGGGTCAAAGACAAATGCAAGCGCAAGCTTTTTTTTTTTTTTTTTTTTTGCAAGTCCCACCTGGGCGAATAGGGTTCGTTGAATATCACCACAGGCAGCGCGAAGTGCTGGGTGGTATTTTGCAAGTGCCTGCGTTGCTGCTTTGAACGGTAACATCATCCGTTCATCACGGAAGTCGTAGCTGAAGGTATCTGTCCACTCGCTAAGAACAAGGATAATCAAGCGCATTACATATTTGGCGGGTCAAAGGACAGGGGCAAAAGATTAGCCCAGCTTGAATTGCTGCTTTGGAAAATGAGAACCAACCGAAGAATTCGAGCACATTTGTACGCCACCGTGTCCTCAGCTTGACTCTGCAGTTTTGTTCAGAGCGCAAAAAACAAAAAAAAAAATGGAAAAATAAGTCAAGCATCAGTGTGGCAAGACGCGAGCGCATGAATGACTGGATGCAGAGGCATGTCAAGACGAACAGTGGGCATGGCCTCTGGCGCAGCGTCTTGTACGCTATCTTGCACGTGCTCAGCAAAGCGCACAAGAAGCTCATGGGGAGCGATAAAAAGCCTAAAACAAGTGGTTCACAATTTGTTACACGTGGTGCAGCATTAAAGGAGGACTCAAGCTCCGATAGCAGAGCACGTACCGAGATGTAGCAAGAAAGGTAAACACAAACAACTTTTCAGGCATGTGCGCGTCTGTCGGCAGAAAAAAAGCAATCAATGCATCCTTTCAACGCAGCAAGATGGGCATGAGAGAAAGAAAGAAGGAAAAAAAAAAAATGAGCAGACTTGATTGGCCGGCTGTAATGAATGCGAGTTTGGGTCAGGGCAAATATACCAAGGTGCCGGAAACAAGTCGGCCTTGCTCAAACTGCAGCTCTGATTCAGGCGCTTCGTCCGATTCGGTGGCGACGGCGGATGACGAACGCTTGGCCTTGTAGGCACGCACGGCCGCCAAGGCAGCAGCACGCACTTCCTCTGAGTGTGACTGGTGGTGAGAAGAAAAGAGGAGCAGACGTGGGCTGGCAAGTGAGCAACAGGGTCCTGTGGTAATTAATACAGGGTGACGATTCAAGACTGTTTTTGCATTCACCCACCGAATGTGATGCATGGGCAGCCTTGTCGAGACCCATGGAATTGAAGACGGAGGTCTAGAAACCAATTCAGCTGATTTAGACACCACGCTCACTGCGGGCTCTTGCAAAACATGCAAGGGGCACACGAGTACCCACCCTAGTTTTGGTTGGTTTCAGTGCACCGATGCTGGGAAGGCTTCGTAAACGCTGTGCCAGTCAAGTGTTAGTGCGTTCTTAGTATAAGTTGTGTGAACCGAAGCAGGACAGTGACCACCTGCGCACTCACCACCAGACTTCCACTACTGGCTAGTCCAGCAACTGTTTCATCAAACTCTTTGTTGAGTTGCTCAAATTGATGACGAAGGCGTCTGGAGTTCAAATGATTGAAGGTCGGGGCCACATGGTTGATGAGAAGGTGACCGTGGCATTGCGATCGTGAGATGGCGCGGTGAGACACAAATGGCAAAAGGCAAAGGCAAAGGCCATGTGAGATATCTCACTTGTTCGCGAGACGACGAAGGCCCAAATCATCCTCTTCGCCGAGCTGTTTCTGCATTGCCGCAAGCTTTTTATCTTCGGCTGCAAGGAGCTTTTGAGTCACCTGCAGGAAAGCATATCATCCATTGAACAGTGCTCTGCGATATGGCCATCATTTGATGGGCACCATGCACACTCGACAGGGCGAGGTGATCTGTCGTACCTCGAGTTGGACGCCAAACCAAAACTTGGCATTGTCCTCGTTTGTCTTTGCCATGGTGGAGGTCGCGTTGGTAATAGCAAGCAAAGCAGAAGTAGCAATTGCGGTGACAGCCACGGCAGTCACAGGAGCGAAACACGGTGAAGCAGCCAGTCGCAGGCAGGGCCTCGAAACACGCGCGAAGCGTATGCGAGGCCAGCTGGAGCTTCCGAGCCGCTTCGGACCAGGCTTGATCCTGGAAGCACAGAACAGGCCAATGGATACACGGCTTTGAGTAGCTGACGATCAGCCAACTTCTGCCACCCCCACCAGCTGCCAGTTGAAAGAACCAGCAACTCGTGTCGCTCCGAGCTTGAAAATGCGTATGTGTTTGTTTGTTTGTCAACCGTCACCAAACGAAAAAAAAGAAAAAAATGTGATGCCTTGTAAAGTGAAAAAAAGGCGAAAACTTTAACAGAAGAAGAACAGGCAGTTCAACGAAAATTTTTTTCTTCATCATGCAGTTAGTTGGTTGAAGGAGCCTGGAAAAATGGATTGACATGTGAATTGGTTATGGGTGTATTTTGGTTGGTTGTTATCGTGGGTGTTTGAATGGGATGACGGGCGTATGAAAGGCTTGATGCCAAGAGGCCACCTGCTTCAATATGATGGAAGGGGTGGCTTATGATCGGTGCAAGCGCGTTGACATGCAAGTGATTGGCAGAGCATGAAGATAGGACGATATCTTTCTCTCACACAAGTCAATTTAATATTCCGAGTCCTGCAAAGCTATGCACTGTTGTGCATCTGGGACATGACATAACTTGGATCAATGATCAAGTCATGGGTGTACACGAAGCCAACCTGTCAAAGCACGGTTGTGTGAGGAAAAAGCACTTCGAGCCATTTGCTCATTAGGTGGGGTCGGGTGGGGACCGGGATCAGTAGTTTGTACCTCTTCATTAGCGCGAGCAAGCCAGAGGCCTCGGGGTGTGCCGTCCACACTAAAGAGCACCCCGGCAGGAGTTCGCTTGTCAAACGGAGCGCTCAGACGCAGCCAATTACATGTGCGCAGACGACAAACAAACAAACATGGTGCTAGAGGCGCACACGTGGGGCACAAACCTGAGGATTTTGAGCTCCTGACCCATTTCAAAAGACAAGAAATACTTATCCTTTGCGTGCAGGCTCTTGTATGTGTTACAGACGGCATAAACTGGGGTGTCGTTCGTCACCTTCTTCAAAACCTTTTTCAGGTCTCCCTTTTTGATCTTGTCCTTGTGCTTTTTTTGCTTGCTCTTGGACAAGACTTGTTCCATTAATCTACTCAAGGCCAGGAGCAAGGCCGCTGAGTGGGATGAGCGCTCAGCGCCTCATATCAGGTGCCACTTCACGTACCTAGCACGCATGGCATCTTCTTTGGCTTGCTTATGTTGTTGATGAGCCTTGAGCATCTTCTCCATTGCTTCGATCAAAATCTCTTGTTTGGTTTTCTGGCACAAGCGGCACGGTGTGAGCACGAGATCATGATCGGGTTCCATGCCATTGCAATAACCAAATCCCCAATCATAAAAAAACGTTGACATTGCTTACTTGGCGAGGCTCGGCGCTGGTTCCGTGCTGAGGATCAAGTCAAGGGTTTGGCACACGATTGCATTGTGAGATCAAGAAAGCTGCAAAAGCACGGTCGGGCAACCAAGATAGCACAAGTCCAACCTGTTGCTCGTGATCATGGATGGCGAGGGCGAGAGCAAATTCGGATAGCCGCTCCTCAAAGGCCAATACATCGGCTTCGCCCAATTGATCTGCTTGCGCCGTGGTGTTTTTTTGCACTTCCGCAATCTCGGACTGACCCTCCGAGGGCAGGGGTGGCAGATCTGTCATGAGGCGTGCGTGGCGGCGGCCAGTCGCCTCGAGTACCTAACACCACAGTCCTCAGTGAATGGATCAATTGCGAGGTATGTGGTACACATGTCAATGAGCCACGCTCAAAAGCAACAGACCTTGTCGAGCAGATGCGTCTCGGTCACGAGCGTGAATCGCTCCTCGGCACTTAAATCAAGTGGCGCTGCTGGTTCTGAATCAACAGACGAAAAGATGAGTGGTCGCAGTCTGGGAAAAAAAAAAAAAAAAAAAAAAAAAAAAAAAAAAAAAAAAAAGATTCAGCGCGCCTTGACTTGCCGGCTTCTTTGCTTGCTTGCAGCCGCTTTTGCAAATGTTTGTGGACAAGCGCGTAAATGGCCTCGCTGCGTTCCAGGAGACGCCGCGCCGGCTCGGACAGAAGAGAGAAGTTGGCGGGTAGCGAGTCTATCATGTTCGACACAAAGCCAGTGCCATCATGACCAGATTAAAAAATGCCAGATCAAAAGCGGACACGATCGAGCCGAGCTAACACAGGACGACAGACCATCAGCGGTATCGGATTCATCCTCAGAGCTGTACAGGTCATCATCGACTGGCGCTGACGCTGTTGCAGCAGAGCTCTCCCCGTCCTCTTCACCATCGCTGTACAAGTCACTGTCATCTGTTGCGGCAAGGAAAGCAAGGGGGAAAAGTTAGATGTGATGACCATGCGCCTTCAGTGAGACCGCCTGCCATGGCGAGGGCAAACCTACCACCGCTATCCTGTTGTGCCAAGGCGGCCGCAGCGGCCTTGGCCGCTGCTTCCTCTTCAAGGCTGGCCTGAGCCAGACGCTCTGCTTCTGCCTGCGCTTCAGCCTCCAAGCGTGCTTGTTCGGCCTCGGCAGCTTCTTGGGCAGCTTGGGCAGCTTGGGCAGCTTGCTCCTCCGCAGCTCTTTGGCGCTCGGCTTCCGCGGCTGCTTCAGCTGCTTCTGCGGCCGCGGCCTCCTCCTCCTGTTCCGCAGCAGCACGTGCAGCGGCGGCTTGTCGCTCCGCTTCTTCGGCAGCAGCTTCCTCGGCCTCACGCTCCAGCCGCTCTTGCTTCATCTGGGCGTAAGTTTTGCGCTTGACCTGGACGCGTGGGCGAGAAGAATTGTGACCATACGATTTTGTCACAGACTGGCGCACAACTTTGCTGAGCATAACGGCCGATTCAGAGCGCTGGATCACGCCAAGTGCGGGATCCAAATGCTCATCGTTGACTTCGGCGCCCTCGGTGGCAGCTCGAGGGCGCAAGTTGGGAGAAGAGTGGGCCGAGACCAAAGGCTGGTCCGGGTTGCTGTGAATCTGAGCCCGGTTTGGTTTTCTTGATCCAGACGTGTCTTCATCTGGATGAATCTCAATGGAAGGGGGCGGGGTCGATTCAGAGCCGAAGACCTGGTCATGAGCGCTCTCAGAAGTCGCAACCGATTCCGACAACTCGGAGCTGGGCTGGGCAGCAGACGCTGAAGATGCCATGACTGCTGAGCTTGGTGTGTGTGAGCCAGAATTCCGAAAAATCGGAGCCCCGTTGGCTCAGCACAAGGTGCAGGGGCGTCAGTACGAGACACAATCCGATTGTCGTTCAATGCCAGTGCCAGAAGAGAGGCTCAGCAGCAGGAATTGGCAACGTGATCCACCCAGCGCGAGGCGAGTGATGAGCTCACGACGATCTGGCTGCGCGCGCAGAGAAGCAGTTGGTGCTGCTGGTGATTGGAATTTGTGTCCAAACCCAAAATGGGCCCGACCTTTGTGCAGATAATTTCGAAGTTGTTGTACCAGCAAGCATGGGTGCATAACGATCTTGACACACTTGGTGCACTGGATACAGGAGTTATTGTAGTCTCGTTGTGTCCTTCAACCAGGCTTCAGTCCCTGTAGAGACTCGGAGACTGGCACAGAAAGTTCGTTAGACTTGCTCTCTCTCTCTCGAGATCTCTGTCTCTCTCTTCTCTATCTCTCTCTCTCTCTCTCTCTCTCTCTCTCTTTTTGCGCGATCGACTCAAGTCGGCGTGCCGTGGGGGGGAGACTGAGAACGATGGCTTCTGCCTGGATGGACGATTATGCGCGTCTGCTGCGGTCAGTGTCGATGTAGCCTACTCCACCCTTATCTGGGCAATGTATTGGCTTGCAAGGCCATCGATCCGCTGTGCACCCGTCCGCGAATGGACGGGGATTGGTGCTTTGAGGTCGTGCCCTCACCTTGTCTGGGGACTCGCGTGTTTAGAAAGCACGTGGCAACGGCGGCACAAATGGAGAAGCTCTTGAGAGGCATCGGCTATCTTCTGCCTGGTATGGAATCATCGCACGCGCCCATGTGCGCTCGCCCTGTTTACTCGCCAGCCCAGAGCTGTGTGCCCGGGTCGCTCTCATCTTTCCCACTGTGTATTCACTTGGCCCAACATAGCCCACAAGCTGAAGGAGCTGACTTCAGAATCAAGTGTGGACTTTTCATCTCGCAGCGCCGCCGCAGTCCTTTGTCATGGCGTCGCGTGCCGTGCCTCACCTCTTGGATCGCTGCCTCTGCTCCGCAGTCTCAGGCTTGGTCAACTGTTTGGCCCTCTTTAACGACATGTCCGCTGTCCGCAGCATCCCCAATGTATGCTCATCAGCACTGAGTACCAAACACGGGCTGGGCTGGTGTCGACCTGCTAGCCTAGGGCACCTGACCATGCTCGTAACGATGATAGATCAAAGCTTCTCGCGATGGGATGGAACGACAGTTTTTCCTCGTTCTGAGCATTATCCACAAAGTTCAGGTGGGTTTCCCAACAAGCGTTTGGCGGATCACCTCGAAGTGACACTCTACCAACGGGTGCAAGTAGCCGCTGAACATCACCTGACTAGGTTTGCATGTGCTTGATGTTAGGTTGCTCTCGAACTTATTGCTCTCAAAATCACATCGGACACTGCACGCTGGCGTCTTGTGACCTGCCTTGAATTGGCCAAGTTTGTCATGAGCGCTTGGCTGGATTGAGGCGGAAGGGGTTGAATGCAATGGTCAAGGATTTGGCGCGTCCGCTTTAGTTCAACCGCCTGAACCTGTGAATGTCCCCTCCCTCTGCTTGGCCCGCGCGTAGGCTCGTGCTACGCACGCTGCTTCTTCTCAAAGGGGGCCGCTTGCAGCTTCCCAATGACCCTTGTGGTACCCTGCCCCGGATGCATCTGGTGTGCAGCGATTGTGCTGGGTACGTTGGGATTGCTATGGCTTATTGTTTGGTTTGACAGCTTCCACGCCGCCTTCTTTGCCGGCACCTTGTCCATTTTGCTGTCTCCTTGCCGCGACCCGTGCTGTGCACCCAGACCGCTGGACAACAATGGAGCTTGCAAAGCCTGTGATGCTGTCGTGGCTCGTGCAGTACAAGACGCACAGATGCGAAATGCTTGGGTGCCAAACAATGATGGTACTGCGACGTCGCACTCGAGTCTTTGTCCGCAATTCTCACTCATTACACTTGTGATTGTGAGCGCCTCACACCGTCCCTACCGTCCCACACCCAATCAGGCGACCCAGGCGATGGGACCGAAATTGTGTGCCCCCGCTGCGATGCTCCAGGTATGACCGATGCAATCGTAGGGTAGTACTTGATAAGTTCAGTTGAAAACGACGGCTGCCGATCACGGACGACCCCTTGCTTTGTTTGCGTGGCATCATATTAGTCGACTTTACGGCAAAGATTGAAGATGGGACCACACCCGTGTCCAATCTTCTCCCTCGCTCTGGAATGGTCTTTCAAGCCTCTGCAGAAAACTCCGAGGCCATGTGCGGTCTTATCAGCTTGCTTGACCCGTCTTGAGACCGCCTCTCCTTGGCTCATGATGGTCGCTCCTGGTTTGCCTTTTCTCACGCGTCGCGAATAGGGAGGGGCTGACATGCGTGCTGTGTCGCCTCCGGCAGCGGAACCTGAATCGCTTCCACCGATTCAAGATTCAAGCCAGCGAGGCCCAGGGTGGTTGCAGTCCGTCGTCTCTCAGCGTGGAAACCTTTGCCGCGGAGCTGATGCACAATTCTCGCCCGCTGATGCATCGTAAGTCTAGAGAGCCACACATTGCTGACGCTTCTCGGTGGCCGCCCTCACGGTCTTACTCGCTTATCCCTTAGTGCTGCTGCGTCGCCTCTGTGGACAGCGCTCTTGGGTCCCCTTTTCAACAGCCCTGCTGCTGGATGTGGGCAGCTTGGTGCTGGCACACAAACAGGTCAAGAAGCTGTCTCCCCAAGAACATCGTGAACTCAAGCACCGTCAGATCACTTTGATTTTCTACTTGATCCGCAACCCCTTGTGGCAAACCTTGACCCGGTACGTGTTCGTCCTGTCCCCACCGCTTTCTCTCATGTGTTGGCACCAGACCTTTTGTCAGGCACTCAAATATCTGGTGTCGATATCCATGTGCAGGCCTCAAATGGAGGCTGTGGTCGGCGCGTTGAAGCGCTTCGTGCCGCTGTTGGAGCCGGTCATTGAGGGTGCTTGGCAATACGCCAACACCATGCAATCGGTCAGTTGTGTGTGTCCTTGTGCTGAATGGGTTCTGACAGGATGAGAGCGTTGCACAGCCGCTTCAATTGGTGTCACAGACACGGGTCGGCAAGTCTGGACTCACACTTGCACTTTTCCTTTTTACCACACACAGTTGTACACCTTCACCTGGGACCCTTGAAAGCCTCATCACGAAGGCTTCAAGGTCGGCTCACACCTCGACGGGTTTATCTGGGGCATGCGTGCCTCCTACAAGCATCATCAAAATTGAAGAGTCTTTGTGAAACAAGGATTGCGGGATAAAAATAACTCGCTTGCAAGAGCGCGAACGGCGAAAAGAACGGCGAAAAGGGGCTTGCATGGCCATGTAGGGGAGTGCAATTTATTTCTTTTTTTTTTTTTCTTTTTTCTTTTTTCTTTTTTCTTTTTTTTTATGTCCCACTGACCTGGCATGCGGCCTGCATAGTAGTCTGGATTGATCCACACCCCAATCTCCTCCATCGCAAAAATGATGATTGCAATCACAAAGCACGCTGCATGGGATAGTGGCACGGACAGCCAATTTAGCGAAATGACGGGGGGCCATGAATGGCGACAAGCAGGGCGCAGGTGAAAGCAAAGCTACTTCGCACCGGCACTGAGGAAGACAGTGGTCCGCTGAGCTTCAACAAAGTCGGGACCGGAACAGCCCACGAGTCGGTCGTAATATCTAACAGAGAGAAGCACCAAATGGAGGGGCATGAGAGAGCAAAAAACATACTCCCTTGCTGTACCTTATGGCCTGTGATTCATGACGAAGAGCTCACGCACAGGAGAGCGACCAAAAAGTAGAGGACGCAGGCACTGTGGGCGCAACGTCGTGGGTTGCGATTCTCTTTGGTCAAGGTCTCGGTGTTGTCTTCTTCATTGGTCACCTTTTAAAATCCATTGCACAACGAGAGAAAAGTCAGAGAAGCAGGCACATATTGCCCCAAATGGTTGCACATATCACAGACCCACCTCTGCAAAGTAGATGACAAGAATGCCAAGTAGAAGGAAGATAAAAGTAGAAAAGTAGAAGGAGCAAAAGACCTGGCAAGGGAAAGGAGAGCATGCATGGTTATGAAAAAAGCTTGTGACGAGCTTGAGAACATGTGATTATGGAGAATGTCGTGGACGGACCTCGTCCACGGAACCATCAATGCACTCGCAAAACGCCACATATGGCGACAAGTCGGGTGAGTCGGCGAGCGCGCTCTCAGCATCGTCCTCGGGAGATACCAGATATCTGGAAAAGGACAACTGAGCACACGGCCATGGTGAAAAAAGCTATCTATCCAAGTTTACGCGTGCCACACACACCCAAGGCAATACCTCGCAGTCGCGACGCATTTGACCACAAGAAGCAAAGGGAAAGCTTGGATCCATGGATCCCCCAGCACTGCCAAGAGAAAAGACGCCATCAGGTGCCACAGGTTGGTGTTGCAGCAGGTGGCGATCGGCAAAGCACAGGGCAAAGAGGCATAGCCAGTACACACACGCGCACGCGCACGTACTCAAAGTAAATAGTGAGGCAAGGACTCATCAAGGCACATTCTAATCCGAAAGCAAGATGAATTGTTCAATTGGATGCGGGTGGAAAATCATGGCCAAGAGCGCAACAGCAAAGGGGGGATGTCAGGCGAGGATGAAAACAGACCTTGAGGGATATTATTCAGCTCGACAATTAAATAAAGGCTGAGGAGAGTGACGCAGATCTCGATGGCTTTGTTGCTCATGGACTTTGGGTCCTATTCGATCAAATGGCATGGGCGTGTATGGGGCGTGACGAATGAGCTCTTCCGTCACTCGGTACCCTTGCTCCTGATCTTGCCAGCGGAGGGGGGCTTTGCCAAGCTCATTCCACATCCCGGGTTCATGCAAACAAGACATCACCCTTTCGAGCGCACACCTTCAGGAGTAGACGTAGCTTGCCCAGACAGGAGACCTTGACCATGGTCGAAATGTGTCGGTGTAGCTGTTCGGCAGCAACAACGGGTGCGATGAGCGCAGTCCGTATTGTACAAGCTTTGGTCATTGCGTTTGCAACACACCTGGCTAGCTGCACCACCGTTCCCATCTACAAACAACCCACAAACAGTGCTTGGTGTGAGTCAACCTGCATCAAGCAATGCGAACGCTGCAAAGTGGAGGTCAGTCTGTGTGTGCGTACCATCGCTGTCGAGACTGAGGTTGTCAGCCGGATGGAGAGCCGCGATGTCACGGGGCTGTCGACGCAAAGGCTACCAGTCATTGATCCCCACAAGGTCGAATTGAGCTTTTCGCATAAACTGTACAGGAAGAGCGGCTTTGAAAGAGGGGCGGCGCTGTGGAACCTGGCGGTGAGCCATTCTGCTCAGTGTGAGGTCAGGAATGACCCTCAAGCTTTTCTTCGGGGTCTTGTCAGCAGTGTCAATCGGGCGCACGCGGCTAGGTTGTCCTCCGAGGAGATTTAGGTGGCACAATGCTCTTGCTTTGGCTGGGTGATGGCGCAGCGAGGGTCCTGCACAAGAGGCAGAGCATGGTCATGCCGTAGCGAAGCGCGATTCTCGAGAACTGCACACCCCTGCCAACCAGCGCAAGTACTACCAGTGTAATCAGTACTACCTTGGGCAGGCGGTCTCAAGCGCAAACCGCCGAGAGAGTGTCGACGGGCAGTCGTCGAGCCCCAAACGGCACAAACCCGAACGAGCGCCCGTTCCCAGCGAGCAGGCAGGCACGAGGTGATGCGAGATGATCTAAACTCGCTTCTCTCGCTCTCTCTCTCTCTCTCTTTATTTTTCTCTCTGTCTCTGTCTCTGTCTCTCTCTCTGTCTCTCTCTCTGTCTCTGTCTCTGTCTCTGTCTCTCTCTCTCTCTCTCTCTCTCTCTCTCTCTCTCTCTCTCTCTCTCTCTCTCTCTCTCTCTCTCTCTCTCTCTCTCTCTCTCTCTCTCTCTCTCTCTCTCTCTCTCTCTCTCTCTCTCTCTCTCTCTCTCTCTCTCTCTCTCTTTCTCTCTCAACAGCTGTCAAAAACGCAATATCTGGTTTGTGTTCCACAAAAAGAGGTTCATGTCGTTGACAGTCATCATGAAAGGTGTTGTAATGGAAAAAGCAGATCAAGTTGTTGTCGTAAATAAAAGACTTGTTTCATCCTCGAATGCCTTTAACGTTTCCTCCATTCCGATCCCGTTCAATTTTTTCCGATCCTCTCTCTCCTTCTCACTCACTCTCACTGATCATGGCGATGCGCATGTTGTTGGTGCTGGCGGCTCTGCTGCCGGCCGTGGCCGCGCTTCAGGCTGGTGTAGCTCGTGTACGTGACACTTGGCATCCATGTTTTTGAGGATAGCATTTGGATCAAGCCGCCCGGCTGGTGTTTGTGAGATGGGATCCGCCTTGTTCTGCGTGGGCGTTTTGAGTATGACCAAGCTTTGGTTTGCGTCGACCTCATGGGGGGGACTGACGTGATCTAATCCGATCTTTAGGTAAACGCAACGCTGCCTACTGGCGTTCCTCTGGCTGGTTACAATCATGGCGCCCGCCGCGTGCCTGATTGGCCTGTTCCGCAAAACACGTACGTCGTTGCCTGATCGATTTCCACTTGAGCAGATCTTGCCCCCTGTGGATCTTCGATCGATCGCGAGCCTGCTGCTACCGCGCCTCATCACAATCGAATGTGTGCATGCAAACATCATAGCAAGTACACGGCCTTTATGACACCCTCCGAAGGTCACCTTGATCCCACCTGGATGCGCGCTCTGGTCATCGACACTGGCAAGACTCGGTTAGCTCTTTGTGCTCACCTCCATTTTGTGTGTGTGTGTGTGTGTGTGTGTGTGTGTGTGTGTGTGTGTGTGTGTGTGTGTGTGTGTGTGTGTGTGTGTGTGTGTGTGTGTGTGTGTGTGACATAAACACAACGATCGCACTGCACATCGTGCCGGCATATCCTGCAGCCCGACGTTCCATAACATCTTGCAAGCTGCCGATTGATGCGTTGTGATGTTATCCTCACCCTGTCTTTCCGTGTTTTTTTTTCCTTGTTTTGCTCGTCCGTTGAAGCTCGTACTTTGTCACTGTGGATGCCATTGGTGCTGATGGCAACCTCCGCAAGCTGTGTCTGGACAAGGCTCAAGCCCAGGTCGGTCACAGAAACATGCTTACAGCTTGAGAAACAAAAGTCCATCGCTTGATGCTAGATTGACACGGCTTCAGATCTGATCGTACATCTCACTTTGGTTGGCTCCCTTACCTAGGGTGCCAAAGTCACCACCGAAAACATGATGCTTCACGCGTAAGGCTACGGTCTCCGCCCACTCACACACACACACACACACACACTCTCTCTCTCTCTCTCTCCCTCTCGTCATTCTCCCTCAGAACCATCACCTTTGCGCTTTGCAAGCCTTTATGTTCTGACGATTCTCATTGGTTTGCGGTAGCTCGCACACTCATTCCGGTCCTGGTGCCGTTTCACCCGAATACGTCTGGTCCTTGGCGCCTGCCACCGATGTCATGGTATGTGTCTGCCGCTGGCAGCTTTCTGGTCGATCCAATCAAGAGCCTCCGCAGCGGTTTGCAGACACGATGCTTCTCTGTGTTTTGATTTGTTTATTTTTTAAAGCGGCGATATTAATGTTGAGTGTCCCGATTGTCTTAGGTCCCCGAGCTGCAAGCCATGGTTGCCGAGTCCTGCGCTCAGGTACGCATCGCTCTATGGTTTGACCTGTGCTTCATGGCCAGAACCACGCATTTACGGGAGACCGTACCTTAGGCCATCATCGAGGCGGAGAAGAATCTCCAGGACGCAACCATTGGCGTTGGCCACGCTGAGCTCTACAACGTGACTGTCAACCGTCGCGCCAAGATCTCGCCCTACGTTGAGCCGGATAGGTGGGTCCGCACCTCTGCCTTGTTGGGTGAACATCAATTCGGCTCGGTCATGTGGAATAGTGTTCCGAGCTGCCTTTATTTTAGTCACCTTATTCGCACCACCTCGCTTGCTTTTGTTCGACGTGAACAGCATTGATCCCCACCTGGGCATCATTCGCATTGACGACGCTCAAGGCAACGCCATGGCCACTGTCTGGAATTTTGCCATTCACGGTTCGTCAACCTCGCCCTGGCTTGGCCCCAACCCTTTGCTTGTTGGGTTGAATCAACCAGTCTCCTTCCGTTGGCCGCAGGCACATGCTGGGGCCCCGACCAGATGTTGTCCAATGCCGACATCATGGGTGGCGTCAACACCTTGCTGGAACAGGATGCAGACATTGGCTATGCTTTGTTCATCAACGCCGATGCCGGTGACATTGACCCTTCCCCGGAATCATGCAACAACAAGCCCAACTACGATGGTGCCAAGATCATTGCCGATGCCGTCAAGAAGGTAGATCAAGATCCGCTTGTTTCAACATCTCACTTCAATTGGCGCTTTTTCTGCAGCTCTCTAGCATCATAATGATTCAAAACATTTTCCTGCATTGTCTGCAAACGGTGCTTAGGCACGCAGTGAAATTCAAAGCGGTGATATTGAGCTTGAGATGGCTTCCTCTGTCAAGTCTTTCGGCCTGACCAACCTGAACTTTACCCTTGCACGCTTTGAGAACTGGTGCGCACAATGCTTGATCACGTCTTGATGCGACCTGCCATCGACTCCTGGCCACGCTCTGATGAACACCTGTTGTGCTGCAGCACCTCTGGTGGTCCGTTGGACATTTGCACGCTGTGCGAGATTCTCAAGTGTGATATCAACGCTCACTTGAACGGCGGCTGGCTCGAGAACGAGCCCCGCTTCACGGCCCTTCGCTTTACGAGTGCGTGAAGCGACTTGATTGTGCTTCTCGAAGCTCTGCTACCCTTGCAATACTCATGACATCTGCACATTGGCCCGTCGGATTTAGACTCGTCCGGATACACCACCCTGATGGTGACGCTGCCTGGCGAAGCACTCTCGGCCCTTGGCACCCAGGTGAGAACGTACAGTGTCGGCATTTGCAGGCTCGTTTTTATTTCTCACGCTATGGCTATGGCTATATCTTGGCAGGTGCGCGGCGATGGCCTCAAGCTGGGCTTTGACGACGTCTTTCTTCTCGGCTACAGCCAGGTACTTGGCTCACAACCCAGAAACTTTGTGTGTGATGCTTTGTCTCATGTGTGCATCCACTTGGCTGTAGAACCACATGGGCTACTTTTGCACGCCCGAGGAGTACGACATTGGTGGTTACGAGTCTCAGCTTACTTTCTGGGGCTACAACACCAGCAGTCTGGTAGGTGTCCCTCTTGTGCTTCTGGGCGGCCCAATGTAAAGCACGTTCCAACTCACGAGTCTGCTTTATTCTTGTTGCTAGGTGCGCGAGGGCGCCTATGCCGCTGCCTCGGCCCTGGCCCCATCCACTCTGTTTCTTTAGGAAACCCGAGCGATCAGCCTCCAAATAGTCCAACTGCTTCGGGAAAAGCCTCCCGCCTTTGCCATAACGCTTCTGCAGTTGGAAATCAATACTTTTGAGGCGCCATTCCACGCTTTTACGCTCTTTCACGCATGTCCACTTATTGAGAAGCACAAAGAACCCAAGGCGTTGAAATTCACGACGAAAGCGAGAGGCAGAGAAAGATTTTTTTTTTTTTGGTTCTTCTCAAACAGAAGTTGTCCGCACTTCTGAAGCGTAACAACCACAGTGTGTTTGCGAACGAGTGTGTGAGAGGTTCGCATTTCTTGTTGAGCTCAGCACTGATAGCAAGTGGCGGTCGGGTGCGGATGGGAATTCGAGTCGCCTTGGGACGGCTCAGCTTTCCAAAAAGCAGCTAAACCATTGATGCCAACGCTTGTGTGGCTCTTCTGGATGACTTAAAAGCCCCCCTTGAGGAGTTTTGTGCGTGCGCTGCGATGCGCCATGGCTTTTGCGGGGGCCAGTCTTTCGGGTGGGACCAGCAGTAATGCCAGCCGCCGCCGTCCCTCGGTAAGAGCGTGCTGATCGCTCCACTCCACTGATTTTCTCGATCTTGGCCTGACTTCCTGCTTTGCTATTACCCTTTGCCTGTGTTTTCATCGTGCTTAGCTAGAGTCGAACAAACAAACGCTCACGCTGGCGAGCAATGCGGCTCTGCTCTCCTCCCGCGCTCTGTTGCCGCCTGATCGAGACGTGAGTGATGAAGACTTTGGGCTTGTTGTGGCCTTTGTATGCTATGCTATGCCATGCTATGCGCCGTTTCCATTGAGGATCTTTGTACCTCACGTGACCTCGGTTGCTCCGTCCTTATTGGACGACGTCAGACCACGACGCAGCTACAGTTGCTTGATGCTCTTACACAAGAGGTCTGTCCCAGGTGCAGGTAGCACGAGGAATCTTCCCTGTGTGCTCAGAGCTGCTCGTTTGACTTTAGGTCCGCCGAGAGCAGGAGCCGCCACAGCTCACGGGCTTCACGTCGACGCCCCTCAATGCGACCACGCAATATGCCAGCTCCCACAACGCCGCCAGTTCAAGTGCCCAGATAGCCGTGGCCTATTCCAACAGCACAGCCAACTCCCAAAAGCATCACACCTTCCTGTATCAAGATGCGGTACAACCCTACCTGAGAGTGTTTGAACGCATTGTCGAACAGATCTTAGAGAGCAATGCCGCTCACCGGTGGGAACGGGTGCTTTTAGAATCAGCAACTGATGTTTGCTCGTGATGCCTTGTCCAAAGAAGCCAGCCCCGACCGCATTGACCTATCTGCAGGCCAGCTCGAAGTATGACCACTCAAGTTGCTCCCCATGCCGCTCGCAATCAAATCATGCCTGTCCCCCTCTCGTGCTCTGTCCGAACCCTTAAGTTCACCATTGCTGCTTGGGCCCTGTTTGCAGTCCTGCCCCATCTTTGAGAATGAAATGTACTTGCGCATCCTGCTCTTGTCACAGAATCGGATTCAATTTATTCAAGTACGGCGGCACGCACCCGAAGCCCTTGCATCGCTGGACATTACATGCCACACACATTACGCCCCCTTGCGTCACTCATGGTTTTACTTGTGTCCTCCACTCAGCCTGTTCGAGTTTTGCGCAACCTGATCGTCCTGGATCTGACAGAGAATCGTCTCAAGGTTTGTATTATCGACCCTGCAGCCTCGACTTATGGTGCTTTTAGTCTTGACCGGTGTTTTCACTTGTGTCACGGCGATAGGACTTATCGCCCCTTGCGGACATGCCTGCGCTACGAGTTCTTCTCGTTGGCGGCAATCGACTGCAGTCCCTGGAGGGCATTCAAGGTGTGCAATGCTGTGTCTCAGTCTTGTCTAGCTGCATCGATTGCACTTGTCAAGCCCACCCTCGAATCCTTGGCCCCGACACAGGTTGTCCGTGCTTGGATGTGCTTAACGCGAGTGGCAATCGCCTGTCAACGATTGAACCGCTGCGGCAACTCTCCCAGTTACGAGATTTGAACTTGGCCAACAACAATATTCACGATGTACGCGACGATCTTGTTATTCATGGTTGATCGAGTCATTCGACCTGGCTCATTTTGAGTGAACCTGCTAGCTGTCTGTGATGGAGCAACTGCCATGTCTAACCAACGTTAATGCCAGCAACAATGCGGTGCGTGCCTTGATTTGCACAAGTCCAGAAAAGACCCTATACAATCCCTGGTACCTTTGCTCGAGCGATTGATCTGCCCGCGGACAGATTGCCCAATTACCTAATTTGCAGAGCAATCCGTCGCTGGAAACGCTGTATTTAAGCCGCAACAAGATTGAAGGTGCAGGTCTGGGAGCTGCGTTATGTTACGTGTACTTGCTGGACGGTCTGCGTTGGCGAGTGTGATCACATACAGGTGAATAACCATATTGGCCTTGGGTGTGCAGGCTCGTTGGACGAATGCAAGACTCTACTGGAACTGGCGCTTGACGAGAACCCGGTAGTTCAGACGGAGCATTACCGAGAAAAACGCATTTTAGCCCTTCCTTCCCTTCGTCTTCTGGATGGCAAACGGATCAGCCCAGATATGCGTCGCATGGCGGTTTGTTGTTGCTAATTGTCTTGGCTACCTACACCTTATAACGACCTTTTTCATCTACCCTTGTCCCGCGCACGTGACTTACCCTCTTGCTTGCTTGATGCGCAGGGCATTACATTGCGACGCATTCAAGAAAAGGCTGAGTAAGCTTTAATATGTGCCACCTTGCTGTATCTTGAGCAATCATTTTTTAGCCTGAGCTCACACGCTGCACAAATGGCTGTGTTCTGCAATCATCAGCCAAGCTGCCCGGGCAGAGCAGCAGCGTGAGCAGCGCGAGACTGCCATAAATGCATGCAAGACGGCCTGGTTTTCTATCCTCCGTCCACGCAAACGGTGCGTTGAAAGGAGTAGCCCTACCCCCCCCCCCCCCCCCCTTTTTTTTTTCTTCCCCAGACGTCTCGGTCGGTTGTTTCAAGATGCAATGCTCACCCTCGCACCCTTGGTAGAGACTCAACCGAAGCCGCAACGGCAACTGGTGAGGTAGACACAAGTACTTTGCCAGTGAGTCATTGCATTTTTTAGAGGGTCTGGTTCATGCTTGGGCCCGATCGGCCATTGGGGGCGAGGGGCTGCGCTGATGACGTGTGCGAACCTCCACAGGCTTTAACCGAGATACAGGGTCTGCAGATCGTGCAGTATGGCTATCCGCGTGACATTTTGGATGGGTGAGCCTCACCGACCGGTTTGCGATTCTACAGAGGAGGACGCAAATCCGAATGGTATCTCATTCGAAAACCGGGGGTTTTTTCTGCTCGTGTTTTGCAGGTCCATCGGGACCAGCACAGCCCAAAGCATCACGCAGCTGCACTTACTTTACTACCCAGCCCGTCTTCTGAACGCCCAGTGGTCTCGCGTAGCACGTCGTCTGCCCAATGTCACGTCGATTCGACTTCAACACTGCGATTGTCGGCACTTGGTCGAATTGAATGGCCTGGCCGCTTTCAAGCGTTTAACCACTTTGAACCTAGCTGCTGAGCCGCTTGCTCAAGAAATGCCACAGTGGCGGTTGTACGCCATTCACCGCATCGCCACCTTGCAAACGATCGATGGACAGCCGATCACAGTGACGCAACGCATGGAGGCTCACCGGTGCTTTGGTCCCCTCACCATCATCATGAACCAGGTCAGTCACAAGCTGGAATCGGGACATGGGCCTGCACCGACCCAGCTTACTTTTTTTTCAATGATATCCTTCTTGTTTGGATAATCAGCTCCCGGCCATGACGCTGGCTGGACGACGCCATCATGATTTACCCGTGGACGAGTCAGCCCTTCCAGCTGCCCGAGTGGTTAGTTTATGTTAAATCATGTGTGGCCAAAAAGTGACTCCGACTGAAAGAAGAATGAATGTCCAATGGATTTGTCTCACATTGGCTTCTCTTTGATTGGATGGCGGGTGATGGATGCTTAGACAAGCGGTCGGGAGAGCGACAGTAAGATGGATCATGCCCGACAAAGCGCTCACCGCCAGCTGGCAAGAGTCAAGCAACTCATTCAGTTGCCCACAAAAACGTAATGAGCTCCAGTTTATGCTGGGCTCGATGCGATGACCGTGCTTTGTGGCTCGAGTCGCCCAAAGAGCTCGTCTAGAGCAGGCACAAAGTTGGTGCTTGCATTGAGCATGGCCGTGACATGGCCTCCTGGAACCCATTGAAATTTACTCGTTGTGGATTCCGCCTTCATGCACTCGGCCAATGTCTCGCTCTCGATGGGAAGCACAAACTGATCATATTCAGCACCAATGCAAGTGCTGTGAAGTTGTCGTGCAGCAGGTCTTGCCGGTATCCGACGCAAGTACTCCTGCGTGGTGATCTGACAAGTTAGCCAGTAATAGGTCTCGTGAGACAGGATGGTAGGTGCATGCAAAGCAACAGCAATTTCAAGCCAACAAAGTTTGATCGGCGCCCGCCCAGGCGTCCTGTAACAACGTACATCACCAAGCACCTGGGCCAGGCGGTCACGCGCCGCCTCGAGAGAGCAGTTTGCATCCTTGGCCAAGGCTGCCCAATCCATTTCGTGTTGAAGGATACCATTGACCATGACACGGGGCGATGCGCTCCCAACGCAGGCAAGCAAGACCAGGTCGCCGTGGTCCAAACCGGATGCCATGCACGCCATCGCCCCACCAAGGGACATGCCTGTTAGGCCTACCTACAGGGAGTGCGGATAGATCAGTGCCGCAGGTTGTTTTCAACGACAACAAAAAACAGCAACAACAACAACAACCCCAAAAAACACAGAAAAGAAAAAAGAGGGGTTGAGGGGGAGGGGGGCTGGCAAGTGGGGCTGTATGATGCATCTGTCGGTCAATATTTTTTGACGTACCGGAACTTGGGAAAACTGCGTACGACAGTATTGTGTCAACTTGGCCGCTGGTTGGCGGTGCGATTAGCAAGTCGTAAGAGAAGGAGCCAAAACAGAATTTGAGTTTAGGTGTGAAAGCAGGAAGAGACGGGTGATACCTTCAACAAAGCTACCAAAGCAGCAAGTGAGATAGTCCGCAACAGTGGAAGCATAGTGCTTGATTTGGGCATGAGGTTTGCGGCGCCCGTAGTAGGGAATGATCAGAAGCAGAGATGCATAGCCTTGCTGGGCCATTGGCTCGGCCATCAACTTGGTACGAAAAGCAAAGCCCATATCACCTGTGGGTGCAAGATGAACCATGATGCCTTTAACTGGCTGTCGTTGATCTGTTGCGTCCATACGATCGGGATCATTCAAGCCAGGGAGGCTGCATGTCGACGGGCGGGCAAGGGTGAGGTCAGCTTGATATGAGTAAGACTGCAGATCGCGAGAGGCCCCCAAACCCAAACGCACAAGTAATCCCGACTCATGACCAGTTGCAGGTGCATGTTAGCCGATTCTTCAGGAAGAAAGCTGGCAAGAGGGCTGCGGCATGTGGCTCGCCGAGTGTACAGAACCCCTTGCTCCTTGGGTGCCTCCCAAGATAGCTGAATGGAGCAAGGCATTGGAGCGATGAGGCAACGATTCGATGAGAAGAAAGAGAAGAGCCGCCAGAATAAAAAAAAAAAAATTAAAAAAAAAAACAGCTGGTCATGCTCATCAAGCACCTGATCAATATCTGAGAAGGCTGCCGAGCCCTGAGCGTAGATTAGCGTTTCCAATTCGGTGACGCGCTTCATATCACCAAAGCCCTAGGGTATGACCAGGCACAGAGAGCATATCATGATGTTATTACGTGAGGTAACAGGTCTTATGCCGGTTGCTACGCCTTATGTAGCAGATGGAAGCGAAGCGTGACCGACTTGGCTGAAAAACTTGAGCGTTGGTTCGCGCCATCGTCTAAAGGCCGGTCGCCGGTGAGTACTGCGTGCGAGAGTTGGGGAGTAACACAAGTTATGGCACTACTCGGTTATCTGAGAACCAACCGCAAAGCACTGACGTAGCTGTAGATCTGATCAAGAGCTCCCATGCTTCGCCCCAGCGCCCAATGCAAGGTACTCTGGGCTGACGGCCGTGCCGCCATTTGTAGTATTTTTGTTGTCATTCAAATCACACATGCATTCAACCCCGCCTCATCTCAAGCTGGCGACAGTTGTTCCGGGTGGAAGGGAGCGCACAAATGACTGAGGCATCCAGTTTGAACCAGGGAACAACGATCAAACGCCAGCTCGCTCGTTGCGCCCATTCAATCACGTGCGTGCAGCTGTGAACGCCCGGTCTTCAGGCAAGCGATACACGTGCGATCGGATGTTGGTGGTGACGATGCTGATACCAACCCGTTGCGCAGGCTCTTGGTGCAAACGCAGTCTTCCCGCCAAGCATGCACACGCACGCCGTCCCAGCAGTCCCGGCTCGCTTGATTCAAGCGCCTCGGCACTGCCATTCCTTCACAACGGCACGCTCACGCTTCCAAAGGGCTCCAGTGGAAATGATCCTCAGATCATCAACACATAAAATTAAATACGTCCTGGGAAATAAAGAATTCAGTGAACATTTTTTAGAAGGGAGGACGTGAATTTCTTTTGTTTTTTGTGGTGCGATGGATTGACATGGGAATGGAATTGTGCGTTGCTCTATCTATCTGTCGTTGCCTCACGGTTGCGGAGCGGATGGCGTGTCTGTCTGGTCCAGCGGTACAAGTGTTGCTCTCTTTTTACTCTCTTGGAATCAGCTGGCTGGGTTCAGAAGTCGAGCACACACACACACACACACTCAAACTCACACACACCTCAACAGCTTTAATAGCTTTAAAATTCCCCCAAAATCCGAAAGAAATACCCTCAATACAGTAGGCACGAGTAAATGAAGAGAAAATGCGGGAACCTGAAGCTATCAAACACCATCAACACATTTACAATGGGGAATGACTCGAAAAAGTTGCAGTCTCTTTTATACTTAATGACGCAAGCTGTACCGGCTTCTCTCATTTTTTTTTATTTTTTATTTTTTTTTCGATTTGACAGCGCGCGATGGCCGCCAACATCACCGTGCGTCGAGTTGCTAGCAGCCGGGGCGGGGGTTGTGGGCCCTTGTTGAGCTGGAGTGTGGGATGATTGTGGGCAGCAGGACAGGGTTGCGGCCACGTTTGCTGGCTGATAGGGACCGGCGCGTGTACGGACAGGAGCTCAAACCGCTGTGCGTGTCTGCAAATAGGAATCGACCAGCTCCATCTACAACGAGCCCTGGAAGCCGGAGGAAGGTCCGTGCGTCGTTCGATCAAAGTTGGTGGTCGTCGACGCTCATCTTGCGGTGTAAGCTGACGCATGGTGCTGTGTACTCTCGTTGATAGCTTTCTACACGGGTGGCCTGGGCGTCGAAGGCGAGGGGCATATCGTCAAGGTTTGGCGCAGCTCACATGCTGCAGATGAGTCCATCCGATTCAAAGCTTATCCGAAGCGCATCGCGTCGTATCCATGATAGTTGCGCTTTCATACAGTAACAGCCAAGGACCGGGTGGAGCGTTTCATCGCCATTCAGCTCAAGGTTTGAGTTTGCCTTGGTTCCCAGCTTGCTATCTTTGAGGTGCTCGTTGCGTCGGCAATGTGCCAGTCTCACAGCCTGGCGGGTAGATCTCGTCGGCATTTCGCATTGAGCTGGACAAGTACGGTGTCGAGTTGCCCGTGGATCCCAAAAAATATCCCGACGACGAACGGTCTGTTTGTTTGTTTTCGCGCGGTCCACCCGGGTTTTGCTTTGAATCGAGGGCCCACTCACTTGGCATTGTTATCAGCTCCCTTTCCTATGATGCTCTGTTAGAGAAGATTCAGCCTCCTGCTGCCCTGAAGCTCGGATCAAGCGTCAAGCAATCGTAAGCACCAAAATAGCTCGACTGTGTCTCAACCTGACTCGGTGCCACAACATGCTCCAAGCTGTGCGCCTCACACGGTGCACTTTGCAGAACCCACCCCGATCAGGAGGGCATATTTGAACTCTGGGCGAGCGCAGCTAGCGATGCACGGTAATGCCTGGACGTGACCTTGCTGTCTTTAGTCAACGAGCCATGGCATCGACGCACACGTGTTCACATGCCCTCCTTTCATCTCATCTCTCTCTCTCTCTCTCTCTCGCCCTTTTCCCATGCTAGTCACCTGGTCCAGGGTGATGATATCCATTTCAAGACCCAGCGCGATTCCTTCTTTATCAAGTCGTACTTCCACACCAAGATGGGTAATTTCACAGGTGAGGGTGCCCAAGTCATGTCGGAAATGTCCAAGATTTCCGATCGCCTCGGCGATGTGACGCTGCCTCAAGATGAGGTCGAGGGCTGCGAGAGTGATGAGTGGTCCGATTGATTGAGGACGGGATCAGGCCCAGAACTTTGTGTCAATCGTGTTTTGTTACCAAAGAATCTCCATTCCCTCTTTGACTGCTCGAAACTGAGATTTTTTTTTTCTGAATTTGGCAAGACACGTGCAAACGACATGCCGGCCATGTGCCCAGCAGTCTTCCGTTTGGTGACCACACCGAGCAAGGCATAGCCAAAACAGAATGCACGTGAATAGAACTGAGGCGCAGCACAATCAGAAAGAAGCCAACAGACAGGCAACTCGGGAACACAAGGGTGGATATGGATACAACCCACGCCCTGGCACGGCCAGTGGCATAGGTGTGTGCATGGGGACAAAAAGTTTGACCAAAGGGTTCATTTCTCACCAAAGACAACAATCACTCAGAATGATTTCAGGCATTGGTGGCATTGGTTGCTTGCGAGACGATAATGTGAACAAAGTTGTCGGCGTGGCACATGTGCTGTGCCAGCCATTGCAACGGGGTGTTGAGCGGAAGCTGGATACCCTGAATGAGCACCTGTTCGGCCAATTCTTCGCCTGTGCTCTCCTTGGTCTGGGGCGGAAACTGGTCCGGCAGGAGCCAGGTCAACAGGTCTTGCAAGCACCATGGAACGCCATTCTCGTCGATCGTTGGAAAAGGCTCCGTTGTCGTCTGTCAAGAAAAAGAAGACCAGCGAGTTGTGATCAGGGCTTAGCCGCGGTCTGGACCCGGTTTCGGTCTGGATCATGCAGATTGCCGACAAACTTGCACATCATACCTCAAAAGTGACGGCAGCGTTTGACGAGTCCCCTTGCTGCGCGCAGAACGGGAGAGGTGAGGGGTGGCCAGGCGTATTGCCACAGATGAAATGGTACCTTCAGATCTGTTCCCACCCTGTCTTACAGAAGGAAAACTACTCACCGTCAAGTAGACCACATACGGGACATGTTTAAACCAGGCACCATCGCCTTCCGTGCCCGTCAAGCTAGCATTGATTTGATTAAAGCGCTCATAATCATCTGGGGAAGACCCGGTCGGCCAATGTTAGTAAGGCGATGCGACGCTGGCTGGGCAAGAGCAGTCTACCGTTGCCCTGGACTCACTGTACAAGAGGCCGGTCCAGAGCGTCTTGAGGGATGTGCTGTTGCGCACCACGGGGTGTTCTAGGGTTTTGTACTGCACTCGCGCAAATCAAGCCACCCATCTTTTGAGCCTCGGCTTTGCTTTGCTTCCCGATGCAAGGAAAGTACAAAGGATAGGAGAAAAAAAAGTTACCTTGAGGAAAGTGGCTTCCTTCAGCCTGTTGAGAAAGACGCGTTCAACCTGGCTCGGCGCACAGACTCCAAAGTTTTGAAAGCCTTCAGGACACTGCGAGGTCAGCCCACAAGAGGAGGGATGAGCCTGCCTGGCAGCCCGCCACGCACAATGAAGCAAGTCGAAGCAATATCATACTTCGGTGGTCACTTGTATTTCCAAGGGTCCATCTTGCTGGCCATGCATCAGGTCAGAGAGCACACCAACAGGCAGGTGCCTGTGGGTTGGGGCAATGTGGCGAGTCGGAGAGTGCGCGGGGATCAAATGGGAGGAGCAATGGAGCAAAAAATGTGGTCATGACTTGCAACACTCATGGAGGTCGACAGCAATCTGCCTAGACGCACCAGTCAAGAACGCGGTCCTTGTACAGGAACCACAACATAGGGTGCTTGGTCTGAGCGTCTTCATCTGTCACAAGATGCCACACGCCGCAAGCAACAGATTCCATCCGCGTGAAAAGGGGGAAAAAAAAGGGCAGAATCTGGAAAAAAAGAGGCAAATCTCGAGGCTGGCTGCCTAGCAAGGGACGAAGCGTGGCTGCAACTCACTTGCAAGGACAGCAGCAACATCTGAGCTTTGACGCAACACGGCCAAGCTGTTGATGAGCGGGATGGAGCGATAGTGCTCGGCGATTTGCTCGAGACAAAAGGGCAAGTAGGCCAGCCGTGGGACCAGCATCTGCGTGAGGCGCAACAATTCCATCAAGTCCGTGCGCTGGGTGAGTCTGTTCAACTGAAACCTGAAATGTATCCTGGGCCGGATGCGTACGTGACAAGGTTCGATGGCATCATCGCTGGCATTGACGTAGGTGAAGCGCACTGGCAGCTGACCGCGCCAGATCTGGAGGTAAAAAGACCGCCATTTGTGAGAGACCAGGCGATCATCGTTGGTGGCCAGCCGGCGTCTACCACACCACAAAGACGACGCACCATGCCATTGATTTCGCTGTCCACCATGTCCATCTTGATCGGTCAGACGCGAGCAAGACAAGTTGCTTGCTTGGAAAAACAAGAGCAAAAAAAAAAAAAAAAAAAAAAAAAAATGGAAAAAGAGAGAGAAAGAAAAAAAAGAAAAAAAAAAAAAAGAACAAAAAACAAACAAACAAACACGATTGTTGACCGACTTCTGCATATTATGTGCGGCTTTGGGAGTAGCCAGGAACCGGCGAGCGGCGAGTCACAGGGACATACTTGATGGTGGCATCGAGAGAATAATTTGAACATTGGGAGGGGGATCAAGTGAAGAAAAATCAAATTGGTGTTCGACAGAACAAGCACACCAGAAAACGTTGAAGAGGACTTCGCAAGGGAGCCAGCAAACACATTGAGATCGGATGCCAGAACAACGAGAGACGGAAGAAAATGGCAGCCAGCGATGAGCTGCACAAATCAAGGGACAAGCGGCCAAAAGAAGTGATGCTTTACTCCGAGGCTGCGTTGACAACAGGATGCTCCTTCATGGCATCCGCCCACGTCTTGAAGCCGCGGGAAAGATCAGCCGCCAGCTGCGGAACAGCATCAATCTACACATGTCCAACAGGCAAATATCAGCTCGAGAATGGTGCATGTATACAGTGGGGCTCGCGTTTCCAACATTTGTCACAACTCTCGTACCGACAGACGAATTTGCTCCATGGTGTCGCGGAAGCGGAAGGTAACAGTGCGATCCTGCATGCAGAGGCCACCATGGCGTGAGCGGGTGGCCAAGTGAGCAGCTTATCCATTTGCCAAGCAAAAGAAAAAGCGATGCTTCGCACCTTGATGGTATCAAAGTCAACAGTGACGCCAAAGGGAATGCCAATCTCGTCCGTGCGCGCGTAGCGCTTGCCAATCGAGGCAGCAGAGTCGTCACGGCGAGTGCTCACACCGGCACGCGTCAGGGCCAGCACTGAAAGAGGATTGAGGGGGTAGCATGAGTCTTCTGCAAGGAGTGGACAACTTGCACAACTTCTGCTTGCCCGAGTGAATGAAGCATGTCTTGTGTGCACATACCCAATTCATCAAGGAAGGGGTTGAATTCCGCATTGTTGCTGAGAGGAAGAACCGAGCACTTGACCGGGGCCACCAGGGGTGCCAGGCGCAGCCACTATGGAACATGATGTTGATGATGATGATGAGTGCGCACACTTAAGACAAACACTCACGTGTAGGGCCAGAGTGGTTGCCTTGCGCCACAAAACGAGTGGCAAACGAACCGTGCGTTGAGCATCGCCTTCACGGCACTCAAACGAATGTTCCAGGAGGGCGTAGATGATGCGGCCCAGACCAAACGAAGGCTCAATCACAGACGGAACAAACTTGCGCTCTGGTGTTGTCATGCACAGGCGTTTTCAAAATGAGTCAGACGCCGAGTGAGACCTCTCGAGGTCAGCGCGGGATGGAGGGGCTTGGTCATGACGAACCGTGTTCCTTCACTTGCTTGCGCTTGATGGTGATCCACGCGGGTTGAATCTCAAACTCGCCAGCCTCCAGCTTCAAAGTGACCGGACCGTTCTGCAGATCCTTTTCAAACTGTTCGGCCTCCTCGTTGCTCATAGCCTCGAAATGAGCAAAGACGACTAAAACAATGATGTGAGCAGAACGCGCCGATATTGGCATGGAGGAAAGGCAGACAAGCAAGTGGCACTCGGCAAACAAAACAATCTGAATACAGACAAGGCACATACCCTTGGCGTTCTGGCGGAAAGCCTTGCCAACCAGGCCCTTGTTTGCCTCAACCTACAAGTCATGACAAAAGCGGAGGTTGCACAGTTTTTATTATAATGACGACCATTGAGCGTTGGGAGATAGAGCCACCATGAAAAGACGCGGAAGCAGGATAAGAACAAATCAACCCAAGCACGACACCCCGGGGCCATGCAGTATCTTGACGCACCACAACAACGTCCTTGATCAGAGGCTCCTTGAGCGGAACTGAAGCCAGGATGGGCTGCTTTGCGGCCTTGGCATGTTGCTCAAGATCGTAGCAAGAGCGGTCTGCGCAGCCAACGCACTCGATCCAGCCGTACGAGGTTTCCAGCTCGCTGCAAGACGGGAGAGTGGCAAAATTGAGGCGGACGAACATGCCAAAGGGTTGCAAGGAGGCGTGTCCTGTCGACGTACCAATCCCAGCAGTCGCAAGCATAGTGCGCCATCTCGGTAGGCAAGTGCTGGCGGAACCGAATGCTAGAGCATTGTAGAAAGCCAAAAATTTGAACACAACAGGTGCATCGGTCATGATCAAGGGCGAGTTTGTTTGCAAATAGCAGGCGATAAAACAGCAGAAGCACAAGCCGTTGGCCACACAACATACCGCTCCTGATCCACGCCAATGTGGACCATAAACTGGAAGATACGGCCGACAAAGTAGCCAAGCGTCTCATTGGCAATGATGCCCTGAGCAACGGCATCACCGATCGACATGCGGGTGATCTTCTCGCCAGCTTGCTGAGCGTTAGCCGTGTACAACGGCGGGCACACGTCCTTGACGCGCTACAGCCAGGAAAAATTCCCACAAACAGGTGTAAAGCGTGAGTTGTAGCCCGCCCGTAAACCAACCCGCGAAAGTCAAAGCAAAGTCAATCAGATATTGAGAGAAAATTGAAGGGCCATGGATAGGGCCGAGTCCACGTACATCAAAACGAGCATGAGACTTGTCCGTTGGGTCCAAAAAGTGCTCAATCTCAGCCATTTGGAACTCACTGCAATTGACACAAGTCGAGTTGGTGAGCCGTCTCCAAAGTGGTCTCACATTATTGTCCAAGGCTTCAAAACGAGCGCCAAAGAAGTTTGAGACGTACCGCACGCGGAGCAGACCCGCCTTGGGGGAAATTTCGTTGCGGAAAGCGGTGCCAATCTGGGCACCGGCAAAAGGAAGCTTGAAGTTGTTAAACTCGTACAGGCGCTTAAAGGCCAAGAAAATGCCCTGCGCCGTCTCGGGGCGCAAAAAGCCAGCGAGATGGCCAGTCGGGCCGATCTATCGGTCAGGGAGTGGAGTGCAAAAGGGTGAGACTTGGGTTGCTTGGATCAAACTGCCAGGCCCGCTAGCAGGATATGAAAAAAAAAAAATATAATATTAAAAAGGGCCAAGGAGTGGCATGGAATCGCTTCAAACCTGAGTCTGGAACATCATGTTGAAATCAACGGGCTCGGAGAGGTCGTTGCCAGTGGTCGGCGACTTGATGTCAAAGCGCTTGTACAGGTCCCACAGCTCGGCCTTGCTAAACACATGAAATTAATGATGTCATCAAGCCTTGGTCAGTAGGCGAGGGACGAACAGCTCAAATGGGACCACGAGACCAGCAAATGGGCCCGACTGCCTTTGACAAACAGACCTGTAAGAGTCGGCCAGGCGACCAATCTTCTCGCACTCCTTTTTGAGCTCCGCCGACGTGTCGGGGGCTGTGGCGATATTGTGCATGACATCTGGGATCAAGAGGTTAAAAGAAAGATGCCGTGAGTACTGGGTCAACTCTTGTACATGCCAAGCATGAAAATGGAGGGTGCATACCTTCCAGCAAGTGATCCGCACGGTGGCAGTCACCCGTCTTAACATCGCGCACCATAATGTCGGCAAAACGCGCGGCGTGGCCAGATGCCCTACAAGTCGAGCCACGGAACAGGAAGCAAGCACAAAAACACGTGAGTTGGCACAGAGCTCATTCAAGCTCGACAGAGAACAAGACAAAATGATCACAAGAGGGGTGAGCGATTTCGGGTGAGCGATTTCGGTGGCACTGACTCAAGGACGTAGTGGGGGGTCATGGCCGTGCAGTTGACCTCGAGCATGTTTTCTTCGAGGACAAAGTGCTGACGCCACTCAGCAATCATGTTGGCCATGATAGCGCAGCCGGTGGGGCCATAGTCATAAAGACCAGCCACACCTGAACGAGCACGGCAAGGATTTGTTAAGGTGACGACCCGGCGCATGTAGGGCGAGGTAGAACAGGTGCGCACCGCCGTAAATCTCAAAACTAGGGGCGAAAAAGAAGCGGCGCTTCATCAGGTCTTCAAAACCCTGCTTGTCAAATTGAGGGCGAGCGTTGGCCGCATCCTAGCAACGTGCCATGATCGAACGGGTATGAAGGATATTGAATCGAGTGCAGTAGGCAGGGCGTCGGGTCATGATCTTACAAAGGCAGCCATAGCCTCTTTGCGACGCAAGAGTTCAGCAACGGCGGCTTTGATCTCCTCAGTCGGGGCCTTGGACTTTTTCAGCTCACGCACCAGGCTACCCTGTGAGACAGAACATTGACAGGATGGGCGTCATAGAGAGGTCCATTCAGCACCGTCAGGGCGAGGCATTGAGGATCAGAGAAGAGTCTTGTTTGAAGCCCAGCGATATCAAAAGCATCTGGCCTACCTGTTGGGCAACCTGAGCCTCGAGGTCCTCTCGGGAGAGGTCAGAGGTTGGCGGGGGTGCAGCCATGGTGTTGATGCCCTGGTACTGCTGCAGGCGCTGCCACAGGTCAATCGAGTGCAGCAGAGGTCAACGAAATTTCATGAGGCAGACATACACACGGCGAAAAGGTGAGAGGAGAGCGGAGGGAGGAGGAAGGGGGGAGGACAGGAAAACCTGACGATCAAGAGCCGACGCAGAAGCAAGCAGGCAATCCGAGGAGGAGACCAGGGAGGAAGAGAGAGAGAGAGAGAGAGGGAGAGAGAGAGGAAAGATAAAAAAAAAAATGGTCGGAACGACGTTGCCTGCTTTGTGGTTTCGGCAATCAGTGTGGTATGCATGCGGATCAGGTGGAATGGCGAACCTGGCAAGGACGAGATGCGGTGGCAGTGCGGGCAGAGCCCAAGTGGCAGAGGCGGTTCGCGATGCGTGCAAGTATGGCGACGTTCCAAGCAAAGCCAAAGAGGCAATTCAATCTGCGATGCACCCACGGCAGCAGACCAGAGGGGTGTCAATGCATGCCCCAAGATGCAAGAGCTTCGCTTGCAGTCAAGTTATCCGCCAAAACGACATCGAGAGAGCGTGGCACAAGCTGTCATTGCACCCGCCCTTTGCCCGGCCCCACATCATCGGGCATGGACACCAGACACCGCAAGACCCTGGCACAGTGTTTGCATGCTACAGCCAATACTCTCGTCCCTGCACCACCAGAGACACGCTGCCAGATCACATCCCGCACACACACACACACACACACACACACACACACACACACACACGTATTTCAGCGACTGTG